AGTATTGATTAATTTTTTTATTTCATCGTTCATTGTTTCATACTACATAGTTTTATGTAAATTTTTAACGGACCATTGGAGGATATGTGAAATAGTTGAATTAATTATCCACTACACTTGATGACCTCGGTCTACCCAGTCATCAGATCGATAACTCGGTGTGTCAAGTATCATCGTAACCTTGGGAAATTCAATAAAAACTTAATTTTGGATAGAAAGATAAAATTCTCATTGAAAACAGCACAATATTTTTATGTGAAGTCAAAGTTTTGTCTGCTACAACACAGTATTTCTGTATGAAAACAAAGTTTTTACTGTTAATCTGATTTTTTAAAAAGCACAATATCTCTGTATGAAGACAAAATTGTGTCTGTTTATCTCATTGAAAACAGCACAGTATTTCTGTATGAAGACAAAATTGTGTCTGTTTATCTCATTGAAAACAGCACAGTATTTCTGTATGAAGACAAAATTATGTCTGCTTATCTCATTGAAAACAGCACAGTATTTCTGTATGAAGACAAAATTGTGTCTTTATCTCATTGAAAACATCACAGTATTTCTGTATGAAGACAAACTTGTGTCTGTTTATCTCATTGAAAACAGCACAGTATTTCTGTATGAAGACAAAATTATGTCTTTATCTCATTGAAAACAGCACAGTATTTCTGTATGAAGACAAACTTGTTTTCTGTTTATCTCATTGAAAACAGCACAGTATCTCTGTATGAAGACAAACTTTTGTCTGTTTATCTCATTGAAAACATCACATTATCTCCAGGGATTCCTATGAAGACAAAATTGTGTCTGCTAACAGCACAGTATTTGTTTGTGAAGAAAATTTACTTTTGCTTATTCAGCCTGAAATGCTTTATACTATTGTCGTGTTTTTGTGTTCCATGAATATTTGTTAAACAGAACATTACGTTATTTTATCATGGTAGAGCACCAGACGATAAAGAGTTGCTGCCCCTGATACACTTAATCTTGACAAAGATAATGTCCAAACCAAACGTTTAGTTGAAATTTTCATGACTTTACATGACATTTACATGTAAATATTCATATGGCTAAAATGTTTTTTCCCCATGTTACAGAATTATGGCCCTTGGTGTATCATTGAACATCCTCTCTTACACTAAGTAGAACAAGTATGCAGATGTTTTAGGTCATACTAACACTGTATTGTATCTGGCTTATCTTTTCTGTTTAAATATGTTTGAAGTTCCTTCAGATTAAACAATCAATATATTGGTTGATAAAGCATATGTATATATTCTACAATTAGTGTTTTGGTCCTTCAACACATGTTCTGGTATTGAAGTAAAAAAAAAAACCTTGTTAGCTAAAGCATTCATTATGTGCTAAAATTAGAGCAGATTCTAAACAGTTCTAGCACAAATATTTTAATAATAATTTAAAAATATAAAGTGAATTTTTTGAAAAAAGTATTTTCAGTGACCTTAGTGTCTGCTGCACTCAGAAAAACATTTGATTGACCATTACCAATAGATATACTCACATTATGTGTAATGTTGTGGTTTAACATATAATGACAGATAGACAATAATGTATCAATATGATGAGAGAGAATATCGTGGTTTGAGGTAGACAATAATGTATCAATATGATGAGAGAGAATATCGTGATTTGAGAACAGTCATCTGCAAGGTCTAATTTAAATGTGGAAGTGATGCAGACTCTCAATGTAAAACTTGAATATGAAGAGATGCAGGCTTGATCAAAATTAGCACAAAAGGAAATAGATATACTGACTTTCCTGTAGTTATTGTAACCTATAGGAAGAGCATAGTTTTTACATTGATAAGAAATTCAATTCATTGTTCTTGATTACTAGCTAAAGATCCATTTATAAATGTCTATAGATAATGTTACTTGCCATGATATTCATACTCAAAAAAGTAAATTAAGAAAAATACTAGTGTTGATTTGATTTGTGTAAGACTTCGACCATGATCGCTGCAGGGACCGTTATGTTTTCGGTTGTGTCAACCTAACAAAGCTTACTTGTGTTTATAGTGGAATGATGAGGACAGATATGGGAGATTGAAACATCACCAGCATTCTGAAAAAATTGGCAAAAGTACATTTCTTAATCAGTCTTAATTGCCATTAAGAGGCAGTAATATTTGTTCTGAGTCACCAAGTTTTGTCACCAGCCCTTCACAATGACACTGATTCATTTTCAACAATGACAATGAAAAGAAACTCCCACTTACAAAAAAGAAAAATTATGAGCATTACTGTTAATATCATCAGAATCTTGGCATTGAGGAAGTAGAAATAATTCTGATGTATCATTCTCGGCTTCAGATTATACCTCATCTCCAGGGAGTGTTCTCTTTTATAGAATATTGACAATTCATTAGTGATATAGAATAAAACAAGTCAAGATATAGTAAATTAAATTTTATCAACTTTGCACACCTGGTATTCCTTGTAGAGTTATGTACAGCAAGTAAGAAAATAAGATAAAGAGAAAGAAACTTATGGGGTTAATAGACCTGTACAAAAGAGAAATTTGGCAGGAAAGGGACAGAATATCTAATACAATGATTCTGTTTTATTGAAAGCTACACAAGTGTTTCATATATTTCTTCAATTTCATGTACATTAAACAATAAGTGAGCTGACAAAGTAATGTTAATTTGCATAAATCAGTATTAATTGTACAGAGCCAGATTGTGCCACTTAATGACTAATTAGTTCATAAAGCTGGATTCAATTTTCTAATTACTGAAATTAACTCCATTGTTTTCTCTGTTGTATGGAGTAATAGCTGAGAATCTTTTGGTCAACCAGGATTGCTGATAAAAAAATGAAGGCTTTTTTGGTGAAGGAGCCCCTAACCATATAAAATGATTTGGACAATTGATTGAATGAACTGTCTCATTCTGGGTCCCTAGATCGCAGTAAGATGAACATCAATGATTAAGGAATAATTAAATAAAAAACAGAAACATTAATTATCCTGATAAAGTGATGCTATTATCACCTATCATTTGGCTGTGATGACCTTTGGGAGCCCCTAATGAGTGATGATGGAACTAATTAAACCTTCATGAAGCCTTTGAGAATGACCAGTTGGATACTGGTCATCTTAATGTAGGTGACTCAGAGGAGAGATAGTGAACATTACAGAGGTCACTGAGGACACTGGTAAACAGGGCCCAGGATCAGTCATAAAGGTTTAAATGAAAAAAAATCTCACGTTATAATTTTTTTCAGTATATTGGAGAAAAAAGTTTAATTAGCAGCAGACTAGAAATATCGTAGCCATTCTTACCAAACTAGATGTTTAGGCCACTTTTAGTGTCTGAATTGGTAACAGAAAATTACATGCTCTTGGCTTTTTTGTTTTAGAGTCATTTACCCTATGAAAGATTTACTGTTCTTTTTCATATCGTTAAATTTGTCTGAAATATATTTAGTTTAACCCTCTTAATTTGAACTGGGATATATTGAATTACCACTTGATTAGAAATAGAATTAAATCCCCAGCCAAATGTTTTCTTTGTTTTTGTATTTATTTACCACTTAATGTGAACTTGTTAATTTGAAATCCTGCTTTATTTGAAAGGTAAATTCCAACCCTCAGCAAAGTCATTGTTTTCTCACAGCTTAGTGTCACCAACAATTGAAGGCGTAATTATGCTTTGTCATGTACAATGTCAATAGCCAGGTAAAAATCTGATACAACAGAAATACATTGTGAGTATTAATCAGTGAGTTGTGTTTGCGATTCAGGCACACACCTCAGTCAATCTACATCAGAATAGAAAACAGAACAGCAGTTGTAATAGCTTCCTCCAATAAAAAATTGTAAACAATTTACGATCAATGAAAAGTATGAACTGATATTGATATGTTGATCAAAAGGAAAAAAGCTAAACGTGATGTTGCAAGAGATATCGTAATCAATCCCAGTACACTTCCCAGCAGCAATATAGATGGATACGAAAAATAAAAACAATAAATCGTGAATTTAAATGTAGATATTGTATTTTGTTTGTTGCATATACAAGCATTTTACTTGGACAGTACACTACCGAGCACGTGGATAAGATGTTCATAGTAAAGAGACTGAGGTCTAACAAGCTTGTCCCCAGTTATATTGAAACCCAGATAATCTGAAATATTTTGCCATTTCCAAAGATTTCAATTTAAGTAGATTCGACTATATACAAGCATGTGTTCCAGTTTTTAACATCAAACTTTGTCCAACTGATGGCTAAAAGTCAAGTTAGTGATTATCTTTACGTGGAATAAAAAGTTATCTCCCCATTGCTTATTGCAGGATCAGGGACTAATCTTGACAAATTTTACTATGAGAAAAGGGTCGTATTCCTTCCTTATCAAGAAAAACGTACTGAAAGCCTTAGGAAATTTCCCCAAAATATGGAAAGTTTTCTTCAAAATGGAGCTAATTAGTGTATCTTGCTTAACATATTTCCAAATCATGCTATCATGTAAAAAGATGTATCAATGTAACCACTACCTCATCATAGTTTATTCACACAACCTTCATGTACCGTTCAGTATTAATTTTACAGGGCTAATATTTCATGGTTCGTGCTGGTTTGCATACAGATAATTTCTGTGATGTTCATCCACTGCAGAAATATTCCATGGGTATCTAATTTCACGTGTTGTTTGTTGGCCACAAATATAGCAATATTGAATCCCTCTCAAATATTACCAACTATACAGTATTTTTTAATCAGTCTTGCTTTTTGAATTCTGATTAAATGTTCCAGTAGACCACTAATTCTCCCTTTTCCTCATTGGGTAGCTAGTATTTTCCATATTCTAGTTAAACCTACAAGGATATATGATTATTTGGGTATGATTTTTTCATGTTTTTTAAGTCGAGTATTGTTAGGTCATTGACAAAAGGGAATGAATGTCCTTTGAAACTAAATGCTTATGTCCGTGTAAAAAATTTATGCCAAATATGTTTTTTTTCTGTATTTAATCAGGGGCTGTAACAGGAAGCATTTTACGCTGTGCACATTTCAACAGATCAACACCTTTACATCACCCTGACATCTCAATGACCTTGACCTCTGATGGAATACCTGTTGTCAAAAACCATATCACCGTCCAGTGTCAGAATGAAAACCATTTTTGTTACACAACCTGGAACAGAAATGCATCTACTGGACAGATTGTGTCCTTTAGCCAAGGTAAGACATTTTCCTCATTAGATATGTACTTAACACATTCTTTCCTGGTCTGTCATTCTCTTCCTTACTTTTTTTACGTCTGTCATTCAGTGAAATGAAGTATCTTGTACATACTTATTTGTAAAATTTTTGAATCTTGAACAATTTCTTTTTTATTGCGGTTGGTAGTTTAATACATTTATAATTTCTTAGCTCTGACAATTCTCTGAGAATAGATCTTATTCTTCTTCTATAGTAAAATTATAGATTATATGCAATAATTGCAGGTTATACAACTTTTATACTTAAACAAAAAATGAAGAAAGAAATATAGTTGTGATGATTGTGTCTGTAGTTGTTCCTGTAGGTTTACTGATGATGATAGATATTTTATGGTAAACTAGTAAGTACAAATGATGTACTGTGTTACTTATGAGGTTGGAAGGATTTGAACTCAAGACAGACATTATTTGTCCCTGTGGACATCGGTGGATGGTGTTGGTGAAATCTTAGTCCATACTAATGTGATTAGTGTTATGTGAAACTTATTGACAATGATAGAGGTCCCACATTGCCTGTACTGTATCAACATCCTCAGATGTTGGGTCAGATCCCCAGTGACTGGATTTCTTTTACAGGATGTAGGTCAATCTGCAAAACACCTACTGATGTCACATTTGGACTTGACTCACTGTATTATTGTCAACAGAGCCATAACAAACTATGATAAAATATTGACTGGCCTTTGTTTAGTCGCTATAAAAAGTCATTAACTGACAATCAGTTGTAAATTTTGTCGAGACTTATGCTTCCCGGAGGGAGAAGAGCTGTTTGTTTGTGTTTATTTAAACACACTTCAGTAGACTAACTTCATTTAACTAAGTCAGTACAAACAGCTACATAAACAAATTTTTTCCTAGACCCAGCCCATATTCCCTCGACTTTGCCTGAATAAATGAAGTTGATTTTAGGGAAAGCAGTAGATGCTGTAATACGATACGATTTGATATGTGGATATTTATGCAGGAAGAAAATTTAAACTAAATAAGCAATTTTCAATTTCATTTCTTCTCTGTAACTACTGTTAGGGGGGAATTCTACAGTTATTAAGTGCAACTGGTTCAACATTTTGGCTTCAAATTTGAAGTTTTGCAATTCATTCCTTTAGAATGTCTTAGCTATTTACATTTTAATGTCTTAAGTGGAAATAACTCCTGTTGTAAATTAAAAGGTGATTTTCGATATTATACCATAGGGGGAAAAGCACGGAAAAGACTTCACGAAGGAGCACATCTTATCTTTATGTTCTGGAAAGCCCACATGTAGATAATGCTCTCACATTCAAAATGATCATTCTGTGTTCAAGTACCACTGAATATCTTACATAAGAGTTGGTGTCAACTATGGAACTTTTAGATGTCACCTTATACTCCCGCAATGAAGAACATACAGTCACTGCTTTGTCCATCCTTTTGTACATCATAACTTTGTCTGGAGCATTACACAAAAACTATATGAGATATCAACATAAAACTTAATGCATAGATAGATCTGAATAAGGAGAAGTACAGTGCATAAAAACCATCACTCTTTCTTGCATAATTTTTTAGTTATTGCACTTTTTATACTAAGATTTTATTTGGAGCATTACACTTAAACTATAAGAGTTATCAACATGAATCTTCAAAGGTAGATGAATCTCAATATGGAGAAGTGCAGTGCACAAGAACCATCATCTTTTTTTGTGCATAATTTAGGAGTTATTACCCTTTTTTATTTTTCATACTTAAATTTTGTCTGGAGCATTACACTTGAACTATAAGAGGTATTAACAACAAGTCGAAGGGCATTACACAAGAATCATAACTCTCTAACTGCCCTTTGTTATTTCTAATACTTCAATTTTGTCCCATTCGTGGAGCATAACCGGTCTCTGACGGCCCTTGTTGTCCTAGCTGATAGATCTAGGTGATAGTATGTTTGTTTTTATGCAGATGCTGAAGATTAGATCATGGATTGTGGTTTTATCACCAGACACAGTTGAGTATTGTACCCTCAACTTCACTTGTTGATGACACATTGTAGCATGTCATTATGATAAATTTCTCCAATGTCAATGCCAATCATATGCCTCAACCGGAAAGATGTCAGCCATCTTTTGGCTATCATCACAGAGTTTATTAGGGATATCATGAAAAAAATGATCCTATGAAAATACACAGTGAAAATCACAATTATTTTAGAATGGTAAACATGTTCTACCACCAGCGTTAAGATTTGTGAATGAAAAGTTGATGATGCTGATGATTTTAGAATCTGAAGAGACACAAAGGACTTTGGCTCTTTCCAATCAAAGGTCAAAGATCACATTTGAACTCTCTTGAAAGAAATGATCAGAACTGAGAGTTATATCAATGTGAGTCGCAAAGCATCGTGATAAACAACATTATTTGATTTATGACATATAGGGTATGTATAGTTACAATGCTAGCTGGACACTTGTGCTGTGTTCCTGTCGCCTCAATAGAACTGGGCCACTCGGAACTGTTAACACTTGAGGTTGTACTAATTAGCCCAAAACAATGGTGTGTCAGGGGTGTGGCTTATATAGGCTCAAACTACAAAACTCCTTTAAGAATGATAATATGGTAGATGTCTGAAATCTTTGATCTCAGAAATTGATGTCACTGTCACTAAACAGCATTTAGAACAGATCCCAGTTTACCGCTTTCACAGTAAAACAATAGAATTCACAATATCTGTTTCAATACGCAAAGGCCTTAAATGGTCAGAACATGATAGAGGAAGGATAAAGAACGGATCAGGTATGATTGGATGAATGGACAAATTAAATTAATGCTAACAAATCCAACCATGCATGACAAATTTGTTTGAAATAAAAGTACAGTTGATGACCGATGCATCACACCTAGATGCGTTATGTAAACATTGTCACCGCCATACTGGGCAACTTTTCAATCCTCAATGACTCTGAACAATTGATCATCCCTCTTACCTGTAGGGTCCTGCTAGGGAAAGAGAAGTCTGGTGTAATTGATTTTTGATTGGCTTATTTAAGCATTGAAATTGGTTTTATACCTTTCTCACTTGGAAGTTGTCACGATTGTGTTTGCCAAGTCAGTTTTCCAACATGCAGCCGAAGCTTCCTGAAAACGAGTCTTTAGTATGCATGTCGGTATCAATTCAAAAATATTTTTCAAAAGATATGAAGAAATAATCAGACACGAGTGGAATTTTACATAATTTATGATGATATTGTTGTTTTTTTTTCTTTACAATAATTGATGGGACACCAATCTGCAGCATGACAATATCCTCATTACTTATGTCCAAATCCTTAAATTTACATGGATGATAAAATAAAAGATTTGAACTGCAAATTTCATGAAATCATTTCTGGATTAATTGAATATAGAAAATGATTACATGTTACCTGAAAAGCTGCAGGGGGTCGCTGATGTTTTGCTCGCTAACATCTTGCTCGCTTATGTCTTGGTCGCGAACATCTTGGTCGCTTACGTCTTGGCTGCTTACGTCTTTGTCACTTACATCTTGGTCGCTTAAGACTTGGTCGCTTAAATCTTGGTCGCTTATGTATATGCAGCTGTAGCATAAATATTACATATAACGTATTATATGGAAGGTTCTCTAACCGAGTTTTTTCTTATGCCATATTTCATGACAACTGATTTGCCATTGAAAATAAATACTTATATAACACTCAATGAAAGGTGACAGTTCGTCTTGCTGTAAGCTATTTTTGTTAGCGATGCGCAAAGAAAACAATGAATTATGCAGCGAAGAATTAGACCACAAGTAAGCTTACTGTGAATATGATGTGATTGTTTATGATGATTTGTGACAAAGTTACATATTTCAAAGAATGAACAAAGGAAGGCTAAAAAGAATCATTATGTTTATCGGAAAATCAAAATAAATTTCAAATTATTAGTCTTCAAACAATGCATATAAGAAACAAGTCAGTTTGGCTCCTCAAAATTTGCACTTCTAAGTTTAGATGTCCAAAAAAACCAATATCAACTATTAATGTCATATTTTGGTTATTATTTTCTCCTGACAAAATGGCACATGATATTAAACAGTTTTCATTATAATGTATATGATAAAATTATATTGACTAACATAAGCACATCTATCTTTCATTATGGTAAGTTAAATAACAAAACATCAGTGAATTCAGAAGATTGTACATAGTAACATGTTGTAGGGTACTCTGAGATTGTTCACCACACATGTTGTAGGGTACTCTGAGATTGTTCACCACACATGTTGTAGGGTACTCTGAGATTGTTCACCACACATGTTGTAGGGTACTCTGAGATTGTTCACCATACATGTTGTAGGGTAGTCTGAGATTGTTCACCACACATGTTGTAGGGTACTCTGAGATTGTTCACCACACATGTTGTAGGGTACTCTGAGATTGTTCACCATACATGTTGTAGGGTAGTTTGAGATTGTTCACCATACATGTTGTAGGGTACTCTGAGATTGTTCACCATACATGTTGTAGGGTACTCTTGAGATTGTTCACCAGACATGTTGTAGGGTAGTCTGAGATTGTTCACCATACATGTTGTAGGGTACTCTGAGATTGTTCACCATACATGATGTAGGGTACTCTGAGATTGTTCACCATACATGTTGTAGGGTACTCTGAGATTATTCACCATACATGTTGTAGGGTACTCTTGAGATTGTTCACCATACATGTTGTAGGGTACTCTTGAGATTGTTCACCATACATGTTGTAGGGTACTCTTGAGATTGTTCACCATACATGTTGTAGGGTACTGTGAGATTGTTCACCAGACATGTTGTAGGGTACTCTGAGATTGTTCACCATACATGTTGTAGGGTACTCTGAGATTGTTCACCATACATGTTGTAGGGTAATCTGAGATTGTTCACCATACATGTTATAAATCTAGGTATCTGTCATACGTTATCCACAAGTTTGGAAGGACTTTTTTTCCATT